GCATGTAGTGGTATACCCGCCTGCCTGTACGACCTGCAGCTAACCTGCACCTGTTGCAGGTACCGTCGTGGGTGCTGCAGCGTACCGACGTGTACCGACTGGCAGCATCGGTGCGCCAGTACCTGCTGGTACTTGGCAGCGAGGCAGCACAAGTACCAGAGTCACCAGTATCTCTGTGCGAGTACGCCTGCCTCAACGTACCACTACCTGACCATCACAGACGGTACCTGCTGCACCTGCACTGCTACCATCAGCGTCTCATGTACCTGCTGCACCTGCAGGAGCAGGTACTGTACCAGCACTGCTGCCATCATGTACCTGCACTGCTGCAGGCTGCAACAATTAAGTTTCAGTTCATCATTTCAATCGATGTTGTTTTATTGCATTCCGTTGCTGTTCATTTTAAGTCGAGTCGACTTTAATTTCAGTTCAAAAATATAAATGGTAGTATTAAATTAAATAAAAATTAAATAAAATCGCTTAAAAGATGCGTGTTTGAAATACTAAAACCAGCGTAACAGGCATATTTGTGATCTTAATCTCTTAAATGATCTTAAAATCTTAAAATTTGGGGAGGGTTTAACTGACTCCCTGCCTCACAGCCACCCAGACCTGACTCCCCGCCTCACTGCCACCCAGACCTGACTCCTCCAACCCTCTCCCCCCACTAATCCCCCCTCCCCCGCAGTGGACCAGCCTGGGGTGCGTGCACTGTGAGGCCCTGGTGGCCAGGCGGGAGGACCTGCTGATCGTGTCCTCCGATGGCCAGCAGTCCGCCTACGTCAACCCCGGGGGCTTCGTCCACGAGATCATCACCGTCAGGACCACCGACCGCCTTTACCTGCTGGGGGCGCCTACACCCGAGCACTCCTGGTTCCCGGGGTGAGGGGGAGGGGTGACCTGGGGGACCTCGGGGTGAGGGGGGGTGATGACCTTTGGGATGTCTCTTATACACATCTAGATGTGTATAAGAGACAGGTAGACTACACTGTGCTGATTTGTG